AAGGAAGTGGTCCAGTTTCTTTTTTTTTTTTTTGCATATAGCTATCCAGTTTTCCCAACACCATTTATTGAAGAGACTGTCTCTTCTCCATTGTATATTCTTTTTTTTTTCTTTTTTCTTTTATTTATTTATTTGACAGAGAGAGACACAGCAAGAAAGAGAACACAAGCAGGGGGAGTGGGAGAGGGAGAAGCAGGCTTCCCGCGGAGCAGGGAGCCCGATGCGGGGCTCAGTCCCAGGACCCTGAGATCATGACCTGAGCCGAAGGCAGTTGATTAACAACTGAGCCACCCAGGCGCCCCTCCATTGTATATTCTTGACTCCTTTGTCATATATTAATATATGTGAGTTTATTTCTGGATTCTCTACTCTGTTTCATTGATCTATGTGTCTGTTTTTGTGCTAGTAACATGCTGTTTTGATTACTGTAGCTTTGTAGTATAGTTTGAAATCTGGAGGCATGATACCTCCAGGTTTGTTCTTCTTTCTCAAGATTGGTTTGGGTATTCAGAGTCTTTGGTTCCATACAAATTTTATGATTATTTGCTCTATTTCTGTGAAAAATGCTATTGGTATTTGGATAGGGATTGAACTGAATCTGTAGATTGCTTTGGGTAGTATGGACATTTTAACAATATTAATTCTTTCAATCCATGAGCATGGTATATCTTTCCATTTATTTATGTCATCTTCAATTTCTTTCACCAGTGTCTTATAGTTCTCAGAGTACAGGTCTTTCGCCTCTTAAGTTTTTTCCTAGGTATTTTATTCTTTTTGATGCAATTGTAAATGGGATTGTTTTCTTAATTTCTCTTTCTGATCATTGGGTACTAGTGAATGGAAACACAGATTTCTGTATATTAATTTTGTATCTTGCTGCTTTACTGAATTCATTTATCAGTTCTAATAGTTTTTTTGGTAGAGTCTTTAGTGTTTCTATAAATAGTATCATGTCATATGCAAATAGTGACAGCTTACTTCTTCCTCCCGATTTGGATGCCTCTTCTGTATTTTTTTTTTTTTTTTTTTTTTTTTTAAAGATTTTATTTATTTATTTGAGACAGAGAGAATGAGAGACAGAGAGCATGAGAGGGAAGAGGGTCAGAGGGAGAAGCAGACTCCCTGCCGAGCAGGGAGCCCGATGCGGGACTCGATCCCGGGACTCCAGGATCATGACCTGAGCCGAAGGCAGTCGCTTAACCAACTGAGCCACCCAGGCGCCCCTGCCTCTTCTGTATTTTTAAATATGCTGTTAATCTCATTAATCTTAGTTCATTTTATCCAGTGTAGTGTGCATTTCAGAAGGTTTTTTCTTCCCTAGAAGTTCTGTTTGGACTTCTTTTTAATATGTCCATTTCTTTCCTCATTGTATTTGTATTTTCCTCAGTCTTCCTGAGAATATGGAGCATATTTACAGTAGTTGTTTTAATGTCCTTTTCTGCTAATTCTGCTAATTTTCTTCATGTATGGATCTGTTTCTGTTGACTGGTTTTTCTCTTGCTTATTTGGTCATATTTTCCTGCTTTGAATGCCTGGTAAGTTTTAAATTAGATTTTGGACATTGTGATTTTAATGTTGTGAGTGCTAGATTTTGTTATATTATTTTATATAATATTAAACTTTGTTCTAGAATGTGGTTACATTATTTGGAAATCAGTTTTATCCTTTCAGGTTTGTATTTAAGGGTTGTCAGGGGAGGTTGAGAGCCATCTTTAATGCTAATTTGGCCCCATTGCTAATGCATTATCCATCTGCAGACTCTGTCTGACAACCAATGTATGAGTAGGTCTTTCTACTCTTGCTGGTGGAAAGACAAATTATTTTACTTGTGGAGCCCTCTGTGAGCTTAACAATTTCTTTTCCTTTCCAGTGGTTCTCTGTGCCCAGCCTTGAGTATTTTCCTCTTCTATATATGCACAACAGTATTCAGCAAAAGATGTAAGAGGACCCTTCTACAGACCTCCAGAGTTCCTTGTCAAACTCCCTCTTCTGTAGTACTCTGTCTCACAAATTCTAGGTGCCTTGGCCTCTCCAAGTGTTGGTCTCTATGTCTTTGGCTTGGCAAGACTTCTGGGTTCTGTATAGTTTCCTCCTCCCTGTCCCACAGGCTAGAAACTTCTCCATGCAGTAAGCTGGGGTAATCGTAGGGCTCACCTTGTTTTTTTTCTTCAGGGATCACAGTTCTGTATGCCTGTTGTCCAGCGTCTGGTAGTTGTTGTTTCATCTGTTTTGTCCAGGGTTCTGTCATTTAAGGTAGGAGGGTAAATTATGTTTTGTTCTTCTGTCATGGCTAGAAGAGGAAGGCTCACTGAAACATTTTTGATGAAGGCACACATTTAATATTCCTATGACATTAATTTATTGCAGTGAAGTCCACTGAATAGGAAGGCCCTCCAAAGGAAGGAACTGCCCTGAACCATAAATGATACCATATTTTGAGCTGTTTTTTTTTTCATTAAAAAAGATAATTATAAATACTAAATAAAAAGAAAAATCAAGATGGAAAAAATAAATTTTACAGTTTCTCCTTTCTAGTGCTATGATTGTTTTCATAGTTGTGTATTAGCCTACACGTATGCATAGTTTTACATAGTTGTAATCATGTTATCCTTCTATTTTGTGGTTTTTTAAAACATATGTCATAAAATATTCTTCTTTTTTTGTACTTTTCTTAAATCTTTTTTTTTTTTCCAGTGTGGACTTAGTTTATTTAACCATTCTTTTCATGGAAATTATGGTTGTTTCCAGTTTTTACTATTACTTATGTCTCTATTTAAAATGGGTGTGTAATATGTTACTTTTGTGAACTATAATTTACTACATAAATGATTACCGTAGCTTGAAGCTTTTAGGGCATTTTGAAATAATTTTGTGTTTAAATTTGGTAACAGAAAAGAATGTAAAAGCCTATGGCATTTTTAAAGGAAATGCAGTGATGAGGTCATCTGGTGCCTGTTCACTAAGGAACAGAGCTGACAGAATATTACAGAGAAATAATCATGGACAGAGTTAAATACCTCTCTGAGTTAAGGAGAGGAAAATTCAGCTCAATTCCATAAATGTTTTGGTCCCCACCCTCAGAGAATTTATGATCTAGTGGAGGATCTAGTGAAACACATTTAAGGAGTTTCACAGTTGAGTTGGAAAAGATATGTCTGACCTGCTTAAACAATTGTGTTCATCACATGATTAAATTTGTACATACACTTTAACTGAAGGACCTTTACTTGGAACTATACCAACTTCCCCAGCACTAAATCTTGTAAATTAGAAAAGCAGTGTTCTGATAATATGTTTTATTAAGGCTTCCATACTCTCTTTCATAAAATTGCATGAATTTATAAAAATGTGGTATTGCTAGAATGAGTTTTCTTTCCTGGTTACAGCCAGAGGCCTTCCCTCAGATTTAGCTGCTGCTGTTACTCTCCTTGCTAGAATAATGGGCTGGAGTAGCTAGTGATGGTACTCAGGTATAAAGTTCCTGGGCAAATTGGTTACACATTTCTTTTTTTTTTTTTTAAATAATAGTTTATTTTATTTTATTTTATTTTTATTTTTTAAATATTTTATTTATTTATTTGACAGAGAGAGAGTTAGCGAGAGAGGGAACACAAGCAGGGGGAATGGGAGAGGGAGAAGCAGGCTTCCTGCTGAGCAGGGAGCCCGTTGGGGGGCTCGATCCCAGGACCCTGGGATCATGACCTGAGCCAAAGGCAGACGCTTAACAGCTGAGCTACCCAGGCGCCCCTGGTTACACATTTCTTAATGTTTGTTGGGCTCCACTTTCCTTCCTTTGGGAAAGTCTCAGATATATTCATTCATTTGTGTGGGAGACCATTTATTTAAATAATAATAGCTAATATATAACATTTACTATGTGCCAGACACTGATCTAAGGTTTTATATATATTAACTTATTTAATTTTCATAATAATCTTTTCATGTAAGTATTGCTATTATTGTCTTAGTAAATGGCAGGGGCAGGAACTGGACTCTGACGTTTGGCTTCAGGGTTCATACTCATAACCATTTACTGTAAGTACATGCTCTCGAGTCACATTCTCCAGGTTCAAAGTCTAGCTCAGTTACATACAACTGTTTGAATGACTTAGATCAATTACTTGTCTCCTCTGAGTCTGTTTCTTCATCTCTGTGCTATCTTTCATATAACCTAACTTTGTTCGCTTCTTGGCACATAGTAAACTTGGCTCTTATTAACTATTCCTTCATTAAAAATTTAAACTTGGGGTGCCCACCATGTGCTTGCTCTTCCAAGGAGCAGTTGTGCTGGTTTGTCTCTTTTTTGTAAAGTCGTATCAGTACTGTATGTATGGTCCTGAAGCTCTTAGCTGATTGAGGATGTTCTGTATTTCCATCATCTTTCCTCCTATTGGTAAGTGTGGAAAAGAGATAGAATGTGGTCAGAAAATGGAAGGCTTTTCCTGTTGATTCATGTTGCAGGTCACACAGTTAAGTCATAGGAGCTAAAACAGGTTACTCCTTGGTTGAAACATGACCATCCTCTATCTAGCAAGATTATTTGCCTTGTTTGACCCAGGTTAAATCTTTAGGAGAAAGGTAAGTATGGAGCAGGAGGGGATACTTATTCAGCCAGCCATTTCCACTAAATCAACCCTAGCCATTAGGGAAATGATAAATGTGGCAGCCAGATTAATCTTACCTTACCACTTCAGTGTAGATTTTAAATGAATGTAAAAACTAAGTATGGAAACCTGTTAGTAGGGAGTAGATGGAGGGGAACCCAAGGCAGAGAAGTATTTTGATAGAAAGGAAAAAAAGCTAGAGAAAAAAAATCCTGGTGAATATAGTTGAGAATAAGCCCTTAATATTTTTCTCTGAGATGAGGAAGTTTTAAATGGAATGTTGGTATAGGCTCTGTTTGGTTATTCTAATAAAGCTATTCCAAGATGTATCTTTATTCCTCATATTTGTGTTTTATACGGGGGTCTAACAGATCTTTTTTCTTTTCTTCCTTATAGTCCTGAGGCTTTCTACCAATGCAGGCCAGTGGAAAGAAGCAGCTAGCAAGGTGACCCATGCATTAGTTAATATCAGGTAAGGAATGAGAGCTTACCTCTTTCAGCATTCCTTGGCTCATCCTGAGGTTTATTGTACCTTTCTGAGTGGAGTGTGTTGAACACTGCTATTTTAAGCCCTGATATCTGTAGGAGTGGAAGAAATGTACTTGATCAAGAAAAGCAGGAGTGCATGAGACTTTCATATTGTCATATTGAAATAGCTCACAGTGCTGTTCTATGAATTTTCTTACCAAGAGATGGTTGCAAGCCCTTTGTTGCCAAAGTGTTTTTCTGTGTATAGGCCATCTGAAAACTTTTCTCTGAAAAATTTTTTTCTGCCATTCTCTGTGAGTTCAGGGAATGACTCATGGGGATCTGGAACTTTGACGTTTTGCTTTACATGGCTCTTTCTATTTGTGGTAAACAGAGGCAAATGGAGCTCATGGGGCTAAGTTATTTTAGGTTCCTTATGAAACAGCAAAGCAATTACAGAGTGTTACATGTATTGGATAAAATTGAGTCAGACATGGAGTTTGGCTTAGGGTCTTGAGGAAATACCACACACTCACAAGAGTGAGCTGTTTGTAAATGGAGAGAATGTGCTTTCAGTATCATGAAATCTCAAGCTGACTTTCCATACATTCCTTGTTCCCTTTGTGCCTATCATTTCCCATTTTCTCAACAATTATTAAATTGTTCTTGCAAACAATTGAAAAATTAACACTTGAGTAGAAGAGGCAAACCCAACAGATGGGGAAACTTGATTTAGCTCCAGATGTAAGCCTTGCCAGACATTCCCAGTGATGGTAATGCACATCTACAAGTTGGTATAGATTCTAATGTGTGACAGCGCTGGGATTTAGTGTTTATTTCTGTATCTTTCTTTTCTTTTCCTTTCTTTTTAATTTTTTTTCTCTCCCTCTCCTTTTTTTAAAAAAAGTATAATGTCCTGTGGTGATTTACAGCGGTATTTGGCACGTCTGGGAACAAAAGGAGAAGTGTGAAATGTGTGTGTTGGGAGAGCTGGAGTGAGGGGGCAAGGGGGTGAGATGTGCTAACAAGATTGCACTGAAGGTTGATCTGCCTTACCTGACCCCAGAGACATTTTGCTGCAAACACAGTTTTATAAATCTCACAAATGCATATCTGTACCTAGCAAATAAACCAGATACTGTAGTGAGGCCTTATAAATAAAAAGAATCAGGAATTACAAACTGCCTTCTCCCAAATATCCCTTTGTGACCCAAGGGCAGTATGACAAATGTGGGTGTTTGAAAGAAGCTCCAGATTCTGGGCTAGAGTATGAAGTTCATATGGGTATAATTTATGTTGTGTTTATTTATTCATGTATTTACTTAGGCTTTCCAGGCAGCTCCTTTTCATCTGGGACCTGTTTCCTTGATCACATTCCTTTATGCTTGCTTTATCTCCTACTTTGTTGCTTTCCCTTTCAGTGGCTTCTGGCTTGGCTGCTGTCCTTATTCTTCCCAAGGGCCGTCAAACAGCTGATTTAAGCGTTTGGCCTATGCTTTTTGTGAATAGCCCAGAAAGGACTGGGCTGAACTTTGAGCGGATGCCTATAACCATGACCTCTTTCTTCTCTTTGCAAGTCTCCATCAGGCCTCTACCTTCATTTTCATTCCTCACATTTCTTTGATGAACCTGCTGCAGGGAATAATTAGATTATCTTCACTGTCACTAATGAATTAGACTTGGCGTTTATGTCAAAAGTATCAAAGATACAGTCAGTTTTCTCAAGAGATTACAGGAAAAATGTGTTTGAATGTCGCTTATCACACTAAGGCCAGATCAGGGCAAAATAGTTGTGATGCCAAGCCAGCTAAAGTTTACTTTTTTTTCCTTTCTGACACTTATTTTCACTTAATAAGTGCTAAGCTTTGTGCTCTTTTATATACTAACTTCTTCAGTATTCAAACTCTATGGAGCATATCACAAGCTTTTAAAAATACACTTTTTACCAGTGAGGAAACTGAGTCTTAAAGATATTGTGAATTGCAGAAAGTTCCACCGTTGTTGTTTGGCAAAGCTGAGAATCATTGGTCCTTTAACTCCCAAGTCCAGGACTCAGGGCTCTTTCTTCTAAAGGTTTTTTTATTTTTAAGTAATCTCTACTCTCAAGTTGGGGCTCAAATTCAGAACCCTAAGATCAAGAGCCACATGCTCCACCGACTGATCCAGCCAGGCACCCCGACTGAGCCAGCCCAGCACCCCAGGGCTGCTTCTTCTGTACCATAATGGCTCCCATAGAGTTGCATCAAAGGCTGCCATGGAGGTAAACAGAAAACTCAGCATGATGTGTTGAAAGGAACATGGAAATTTTAGTTAGAGAAGCTGGATTTAAAATTTTTGTCTCTACCACTTAATGTGTGACCTTGAGCAAGTTATTTAGCTCCTCTGGACCTCTTTCCACTGTCTATAAAATGAAGATCACGATGATATCAACTCTTTCACGGGGAAATAGTTGTGAGAACTATATAATGTATGTGAAAGCACTTAGTCAACTATAAAATATTGGCCTGAAGCATAATGTATTTAAGATTCATCTCTGTTGTAGTATGTCACAATTTCCTTCCTTTTTAAGGCCAATTAATATTCCGTTGTATGTATATGCCATGTTTTGTTATTCCATTCATCCATTGATGAAATCCCAAGTGGGTTGCTTCCACCCTTTGGTCGTTGTGTTTTGGTTATTTGTGTATGGGTGTACAAATATCTGTCCAGTCCCTGCTTTCACTTCTCTTGGGCCTAAACCTAGAAGTGGAATTGGTGGATCATATGATAATTCTGTTTAATTTTTTTAGTAAATGCCATACTGTTTTTAGGATTAGCATTTTGAGCCTTCCTTAGAATGTTTCCTAAGTATGTCTTCATATATCCCTTCTATAAAACCTAAGATGTTATCCCTAACCTTGAAAGATGTTTTGCTTTTTTTGTAGGTAGATTTTGATGCTTTGAATGAGGATGGTGCAGGGAGTTTCTTTTCTCAGAGTTAGTATTCTCTTGGCTGAGGGTGAAAAAGTGGTATGCCTGTCTGCATTCCACTCCAGTGGTAATGAGTGCTGCCTTATGCTCCCTTGGTTTTTTTCTAAGAGCTTGTGTTGTACATCCATGACACTATTAACTTTGGGTGGTTTAGAAAACAAGAGACTGTGTCAGAAAATTGGACCCATGGGTCTCCCAGGGATACTATGGGATGTTTAACTATTGGCCACCAAGTTTATTAATAAGGATAGAGTATATAGAGGCTTAGAAGTAAAACTCTGAGGGCGCCTGGGTGGCTCAGTCGTTAAGCATCTGCCTTCAGCTTGGGTCATGGTCCTGGGGTCCTGGGATCGAGCCCCGCATCGGGCTCCCTGCTCAGTGGGAAGCCTGCTTCTCCCTCTCCCACTCCCCCTGCTTGTGTTCCCTCTCTCTCTGTGTCTCTGTCTCTGTCAAATAAATAAATAAAAATCTTAAAAAAAAAAAAAGTAAATCTGTGATAGCGTGCAACATTTACTTCTGTTGTTATAAAGATTATTTGTGCTAATCCCACAGCTGGAAAAGATTTCTAAGGCAGAGTGAACGAATTCTTAGCCACCTCTCCTGTAGTATGTTCTTTGATAACCATGGAAAAGTTTGGGTTGCATATGAAATTTTCAGACATCTAACTAACAGCTGAGAGGGCCTCAAGATGGTTTGGTAGTTGATGACAGCTACAAGTTATGTTTTTGGGATCTTCTGGAATGCAATACATCTAATGGCAACCCTAACATAGTATCTTACAGCCCGTGAAAGGCAGCAGAAAGGCTGCAGACTTTAATGTTTTTTGGAGTTCAGATTGTGACAGTGAAAATTAAAAGTGCTTCCACATGCTTGGAGGCCTAAATTTGCTCAAGTGTCAGTCTGTTTGCTTTTCACTTGTCTTTCGTGGCTTAGTCATGCCAGCTCTTTAATTGTCAGAGTTATTTGTGTTTAAACAATTTGTCTCTCTCTTCCTGTTTGATCCTTCAGAGAGATTCTTAAAATGCAGCTGCTTAGAAACTGCTGTTTTTTAAATTGAAGTACAGTTGACATACAATGTTCTATCAATTTCAGGTGTACAGCATAGCGACTCAACAATTCTATTCATTGTGCAGTGCTCACCATGATGAGTGTAGTTACCATCTGTCACCATACATAGTTATTACAATATTATTGATTATATTCCCTGTGCTCTACTTTTCATCTTATTTTGTAACTGGACATTTGTACCTCTTAATCTGCTTCACCTATAACATCCATCCCTTTGCCCCCACCTATCTGGTAACTACTGGTTTGTTCTCTGTATTTATTTTATTTTATCTTTGAAGATTTTATTTATTTATTTGACAGAGAGAGATAGCGAGAGCAGGAACATAAGCAGGGGGAGTGGGAGAGGGAGAAGCAGGCTTCCAGCCAAGCAGGGAGCCTGATGTGGGACTTGATCCCAGGACCTGACCATGACCTGAGCCGAAGGCAGATGCTCAACTGAGCCACCCAGGCACCCCTGTTATCTATATTTATGAGTTTGTTTTTGTTTGTTTTGGTTTTTAGATTTCATATGTAGGTGAAATCATATGGTATTTGTCTTTTTCTGTCTGACTTATTTCACTTAGCATATTACCCTCTAGGTTCATCTATGTTGTTGTGAATGGCAAGATCTCATTCCTTTTTATGGCTGAGTAATATTCCATTGTGTGTGAATGTATATGTATATATACCACAAATTTATCCATTTATCTCTTGATGGACACTTGGGTTGCCTCTATATCTTGGCCAATGTAAATAATACTGCAGTAAATATTGGGGTGCGTATATCTTTTCAAATTAGAGTTTTTGAGAAACTATTCTTTTTTTAAGTAGCCGTCATGCCCAATGTGGGGCTTGAATTCATGACCCTGAGATTGAGAGTCACATGCTCTACTGACTGAGCTAGCCAGGTGCCCCGAAACTGCTGTTTTTATTGGAATACCTGATGTCATTAATGTACAGGGCCCTATATTTGTTCCTTCCCATAGG